CTTTCATGGCAAGGCGTGATATCCTCAAGAACTCCAGACATTCAGAGAAGACACCACCTGACTCATCCTTTCAATCTGCTCAGCAATGGTGAAAGCATTGACCAATGACAATCACAGTGACGAATGCGGTGACCATCATCCCTCTAAGTGTCTTGTCTTACAACCTCATTATGTATTTTTGGTATCACTCCATGGTTATTGAATATCAGACATTTATACTCTTCCAACGTGAAGCTGCTCCTGAAAGAGGGAATTTTCATGTGAGACCATTTCTGCTGTCTATTTTAAGCCAAATATGTATCTCATTAAGTCAAACAATTGCTCAACTAATAATGGCTGAATATCCAGATTCTGTTCTGGGATACAGAAAATAAATCAGCCATGGTCTCTGCCTTCATGGAGATTACAGTCTATCATGAACAAATGTAAGTACAGGTGTGGTGGGTGCTGCAAAGGAGAAGTGCAGGATGCAATTGGCAAGGGTGGGACTAGGGTGGGGCAAAGGAAATGGCTTGGGTGTAACATATAAGGAGGCACTTGAACAACCCTGTGAGTGAGTGCCTCCTTATATATTGCACCGTAGGCACCTCCTTCTCCCAGCCCTAGTCCTAGTCCTGGTCCTGGCGAACAGAAAGATCACAGTGGAAGGGAAAACACTATAGGTGAAGGGAAAGTCTTCAGGGTAATATTTCCTGGTAGTGATCATCTGTTGCATCTTTGGACATTCGGCATCTGAACCCCTTTCCATCTGGGAGTAATTCTCCATTCTTTAGATCTTGATGGAAAGGAGGGCTGACCTCCCACTATAGAAAGCACTAAAGGCAAATATTCTTTTGCACTGCCTTGGGAGTTAGTAGGCAGGCATACGACCCAGGCTTAGCCAACTGGATGCTCCAACAAAAAACACTGAATCTTAAAGAACTAAATCCAAACCACAGGGAAGGTGGACAAAATACTCACTTCATAGCCAGCAGGCAAAAGCCACTGTGATAGAAGTCTGGGCAAGAATCTAGGTGTGTGATACTCGTGTCCACTGCCAGGATGGTAATGCTGGTATTGGGATCCTGGTAGATTATTTCTGCTGTCCACTGTCCCTTGGTCTTTCCAAGCCCAATTGTCTAGACTTCCAGTCAGTTCTATGAGCTACATGTTATCTTTCCAAGAAATGCCCTTTCTGCTTAAGTTAGTCTCTGACAAACTCTAACCATTACATCCAATAACAAATTTAAGGTGTTTCATCATCAAATATGTTGAGAGAATGGTGCTCTATTCAGTAAGGAACCCTTGTGAAATTGGATGCCAGAATGGGGGAGGCAATTGAACCTGGCAGGGAGACTAAAGGATTTACAGCAAAACTCAGAGTAGACAGCCTGGAGGATGAGGGAAGAAGAGGGATGATGAGGGGCTGAGCTGAGAGAGCAGTCCTGACAACAGTGAGGAAAAGTTGGGTTTCTACGAAGACATCATAGAGGAAGAATCAAGGGGACTTGATAACTTTCTTGATATGAGAAGTGAAGGGGAGAGCATCCAAAGTCTTATGTCTCAGACAATGGTCAAGCATGAGTGCTTGAGAAGGGAGACCTGTTTGAGTGGGAAAGTGACTTTCTTGGGCTTTAAATATTCATAGAGTTAGAAAATATTTATTGCATTCCTGTTGTACTCCAGGCACCAAGGTTGGAATAGTGAGCAAAATCAATGAGGACCCTGCTATCATGAAATCCAAATTCTCCCAGGAAGATAGACAAGAAACAAGTAAATGAACAAAATAATTACTGACTTTTGAGAAGTACTAAGAAAGAAGTTGTCAGAGTGATATAAAGGACTTTGTTAAATTTGATAACTAAGGATGACACTTAAATTAAGGCCTGGGGGATAGAACAAAAACAACCATACAGATAACAGAGGAAGAGCCTTCTCAAGCAGAAGGAGTGGCATGTAGCAAGGCTCTATGACAGGAAAGGAAGGACTAGTTGACATGAAGGAACAGAAGGGAGGCCAGAGCGACCTGAGTGCAAGGGAGAAGAAAGAAGTCACAGACGTAAGTAAAGTGAGGTCGGGCAGGGCCTCATAGGCTGTGGAAGGGAGTCTAGACTTTATTCTTGGTGAAACAGGAAGCCATTGTTTGGTGTTACACAGAGCAGTGACGGTATAATTTACCCTTTGGCTGCTATGTAGAAAATTAGAGGATTAAACAAGAAACCAGTTGGGAGACTATTGTAGAAAGTCAGATTAAGATGACAGTGGCTTGAATGAGATGGAAAGAAATGGGTGGTCTTGAGATGTATTTTGAGGGTAGAGCCACAGCACTTGCTAATAGACTGAACGGAGTGAGGTAAAGTGAGGAACCAAGGATGGCTTCCAGGTTTGGAGCAATGCGGTACATGTTACGACTTACTGAAAAGGGAAATAATAGGGTACTAATAAGCTTGGTTAAGTGAGGTACCACCAGGAGTTCCGTTCTGGATACATTAGGCATCCAAATGAAGACGTCACTTAAGGAGGCGAATATATCAGTCTAGAGGTTTTAGAAGGTCTGGGGTTGGAGATATGAATTTGGAAGTGATCAGCATATAGAAGGTGCTCAAAGCACCTAATGAAAAAGAACAGAGAGGAAAGAACTTAGAAACAAGCCCTGGTGATTGGGAAGAGAAGGAAGAGCCCAAAAAGAAGACTGAAAAGTAATGGCATAGCCAATTGGAGGAAAACTAAGAGAATCTGGTAACAGAAGTCAAGAGAAGAAAGCATTTCAATAAGGAGGTAGTGGCCCCTTTGTCAAATATTGCTCAGAAGTCAATTAGAGGAAAATAGGGAGGCCTCTATTGGGTGTGGAAACATTAGGGATAATTGGTGACCTTCACAAGAGAGGTTTCAACGGCAGGGTCAAAGCCAAATTGAATTGAGTTGAAAAGTGAATGGGAAATGAGAAAATACGGAAAGTGAAGGCAGACAACATTTCGAGAAGTTTTCCTTTGAAGAATTGCAAAGAAGCGGGGCATTGTCCAGAAAGGGGTGTGGGCTTGTTTTGTTTTAAGATGGGAGGCACTAGAGCATCTTTGTATAAAAATGGTCCAGCGGAGAAGGGGAGTATGAACAGAATAAAGGAAGATGAAGTCCTTGAGTAGGGGGAGGAGATGCAAGTGGACAAGCAGAGGGGTTGGTTTCTCAGGCGTAGGCAGCGTTCTTCCATTGTAAACAAAAGGAGGAGAGGAGGTGTAGGGCCAGATGCAAGACTATGTAGACTTAGCAAAGAGAAGATGAAGTTATTTCTGATGGCTTCTATTTTCTCGAAATATGAGGCAAGGAGTGGTATTTTAGAGAGAAGAAGTGATAGAAGATTGAAGAGAGAGGAAAAAGCATAGAAGAGTGATTTCAGAGAGTGAGAAATCAAGCTTCTTAGAAGAAAACAGGGGGTTAACCGGGCAGTGTCGAGTGCTGTTTGAGGTTTGAGGCCCTGAATTTCCAGTGAAGTCAGTGAGGCCAGTTAGATAATTTTCTCTAAGAAGAATCAGCTGCTAAAGTGCACATATGGAGAAGGGAAGCAGATGGTTGGTTCCACCAGGTTGGGAACCGGACAGATCGATACCATGCAGTGAGGAACTGGGAGTTGAGTATGCCTGCAAGAGAACTGTCATGGGCCTAGATCATGATATCCAAGCTGAGTATAGACGGAAGTGGAGTCAGAAGGTTGAGATGACCAGTGAAAAAGCAGTGGGGTCAAGGGCTTCATTTCAATTTTAAGAGTGATTAATTCTCAATCACTCTTAGTAGTTGAGGCAAAGTGGGAAAGGAGGATCTTCATTTTTTACAGGCAGGGAATTCCTACGCAGGTTCTAAAAGGAGAAAATCGGGAAGTGAGATCAATCTAGAATCCATTCACATTTACCAAGAATAAAATGTGTGCTAGATTCTATCCTGGGCTCCTATCTGTTATTTCATTTAATCCCCATGACAACCCTGTGCCTTAGGTAGGATAAATCCTCATTTTAAAGACAAGAAAATAAAGCAGAGAGGATTAAATGGCTTGCCTAGGATCAGCTGATATGTGATCAAGTGAGGTTTTGAACCCAGATCTTCTGATCCTGAATCCAGTGCTCTTCCTTTGGCACTGTGACACTTTGACATGGTGGTACATAGACACTGAGGTTTTCATCAAAAAGGTGCACTGGGGATGACTGAGTCAAGCCATAGGTTGATGCCGGGTTCAGTGTTCTCATATGAAGGGACTGGATAGCAGGCGGGTGGCTCTAAACAGAACTGTCCAACTCAGGATAAAGAATCAAGTTCTCTTTGATTAGTCACGTAAGCAGCAATGGATGGGAATACTTAGGACCATGACCCAAATCATGGGGCAGGAGGTGGTAAAAATCCCTGTTGTCTCAGTTCAGGATCAGTCCTGGAAAAGGATTAGCCAGCAGATCCATATCATGTGGCCCCAACTAGGGGGAAAGGAAAGAGATGGAGCAGGAATTCACATGGGGCCTGATACCAGCTCTCTCCAGGGTGAAGAAAACTTTTGAGACACAATCCTAGAGTCTCTAGCAGGACAGAAGCACAGGTATTATCAGGGGAGAGTTGCAGCCTTTGGTGTGAACGTAGGGAAAGAGAAGTAGCAGACTAAGAATGCGTTCTTGTGTTCATCACAGATTTTTGCTTGCCTGCTTGACTCCTCCCAAAATATCCAGAGATTGAGCCCCCTAGCCTGCCTCAGCCCTATATCTCTCGACTCTAAAGTTATACCATCCATACAATAGCCACGAGCCACATTTAGCTATATAAATTTAAGTATAGATTAAATTAAACTAAAAATTCAATTCTGCAGTCACACTAGCCACATTTCAAGTGCACAGTAGCCACATGTGGCTAGTAGTTACCATATTGAACAACACAGATACGAAACATTTCCATCATTGCAGAAAGTTCTGTTGGCAGCACTGGACTAGAAAACAAGAATCAAATGGATAGAATGAACATCTTATTTATATTATTTGGGACCAGCTTTGGGCCAGCAGACTCGGAGCTATGTGCAAGGCTGAGTTTATTACCACCTACCGGTCCATCCTAATACCCACACATACCTTCCTTTCTTCCTTATTTATTTCTAAGTATGGCTAGGTGGAACTGCCAGACACAAACAGGCTACAGCCAAAAACAATTTAATAGAACTGTTGGATCCAATGATGTTAGACTCAGTGTTGGATGAGAGGTGTCAGACGGCAGAGTTTAATCCCTGTTTTCTAGTTCTACGAGAATTTAGTTTTGACAGGCACATACTTGGGATTTACACAGCACTTAGCTTCAGTACCGCATAATATATGGAATATTTCATTCTCTTCGCATGTTGTTCTGCAATTTCCCAACTTACCCCAGCACTTCGTGGCTGAAATCAAAAGGGAAGGATGGAGCAGAGTCAGTCTTGAAATAAAGCAAAGGGGAGGCCAAAGCCCAGTAGAGAAGACAGTAGTAAGGGAAATTAGGAGATCTGTAGGGAAGAAGCCCTCACAAGGCATCCTCCAGGTTTAGAGAAGATTTGAGGACACTATCCTTTCTTTTCCCACTTGTGTCCCCAGTCATAACCCCAAAGTCCTCCCCACTAGGTCCTGGGACCTACTATACTCCATGCCCAAGCTTCCTCTCCCCAGCCAGCTCCCTTGAGGAAGGCAAGAGGGCTCTCTCTCTCCAGGGTTTCATCTTCCCCATATTATGAGGTACCCAGTTGCCCAGTATCAATCAGTTACCTTTTCGCTTTGCCCTTTGGTACTCTCTTTGACCATATCAATGAAAGGGGACAGGAATCCTTAACACATCCATCTGGACATCTGTTAAGTCTTCTAGGGTAAAACTCTAGAAGAAACTCCCAAGTCAAAACTGCCAAGAATGTCACATTCCCCTATTCACAACATCCTGGGGCTTTTTGCTGGTCTTAACCAATCAGTAAAATTAGGAACAGCTGCTCTGCAGAACTTACAACCGAAAGTAGCCTAGATAACTTGAGATTGGCTGAGAGAGTAGAATCAGAATCCTCAAACAATCAGAAATTCAGGAACCATTTTCATGGAGGGAACAATAGATCAAAATTCAAATCTCCCCAAGGAATGCTTTTCACAAAGCTCCCACTTTTTCTGTTCTCCATGCCCAGGTCTCTCTCCTCCATGTACCCTCCCTGCCAGGGGCATCATGTTCAACTTCTCCAGAGCCAGCCAGAGAAAGAAAGTCAGAATGGTCAAGTAACAGCACTGGGAACATCAGTTGGTACCAGAGAACTCAAACTTCCCTTTGGCTAGAGAGATCACCCAAAGGCCCTTAGGGAACCTGCCACGACATTCTCCCAGCCCAAGCTGTTAGAGCCCACAGAGTCCCCTGAACATGCGTCAGGTTCGCTGACCCTCTCCCCCTTGGGAGAGATCCTGGTTACCTGGGGTGACCCGCGCCAGGAGCAGAGTAACAGTCAAGACCAGAAGGAGCTTCATGAGTGACTGGAGCTCAGGAAGAGACAGGAGGTTTCTGGGATGGCAAGACAAGCAGAGGTCTCCATTCTGGGCAGTCCAGACTGGTATTTATTGCCCCAAGGAGCATGGCAGAGCCATGATCAGTGAACCAGAAAGGGAACAGTCATTTAAGATTAGACAACAGGCAAGTAATCAACCACACTAGTTGAATGGCTATCGGTTACACCCTCTTCCGCACTTCCAGAGGAGGCTGGGAGAGGGGGAAGAAAAGCTAACAAAGAGAAGACACAGCCTTGCCTTTGAAGAGTTATATAATACAACTGGGAGCCAAGAAGAGAGAAAATGTTTTTACTATTAATTCATTTCTAGTAAATGAAAATAGAGAGAGAGCACAAGTAAGACAGAAAAGAAGTGATACTTCTGTGTTCTTTGGGTTCTTTCCAGCACTAAAGACATCTTAGGATGTCCCATAGATTTGTGGTTCATTTTAAGGATACTAAAGGAAGGGCAGAAGCAGAGAGAAGTACCTTGATAGCTCCATGGTCATTACCACTGGAGACTAAAATGTCAGCATTTGTAGAGTGGGATGACCAGGAAGGTCACAGATCTTCCTTTTAACTGTTCATGTGTAACAGGAACAAGCAGTATCCTCCTAGATGGCAAAAGAAAAGCCATTACCACTGTTGTGATATTTCCTATAAGGTATGGTAGATTGCGTTATTGACCCCAATTCTTCACCCCTACTTGAATCCACACCTTTGCCAAGGTCTCATCCTAGGAAGAATGTGCTTCCCTCCCTCTTCACTTTTGTCTTGGCTGTGTGACTTGTTTTAGCCAACAATTTAGGGGCAGAAGTGACGGTGTGCCAGTTCTGAGCCTAGGCTTTAAGAGGTGATGAATGTTTTCGTTGCCCTTTGTGCCTCTGCCATCACCCTGAGAGCATACTCTGGGGGTCCAACGACAATGACACATACATGGAGCAGAGCCACCCTGAAGACCCACAGATTTACAGCGAGAAATAGAGCTGCCCTGCTGCTCCTGCCTCCAGCAGAGCCATCCAGCCAAACTCCAGTTTACCTGCTGACACAGGAGCAGCAATAAAGGATTGTTGTTTTAAGCCACTGAGTTTTGGAGCAGAATGTTACATAGTAATAGCTTACTGACACATAAGGCCAGCAGATAGGTCAGAAAAGCGCCAAGTGCTTTTTAGCACAGTGACGGTAACTTCTATCATTTCAAAATGGGCAGAAACAAAGGTATACTAAGAGAAAGAAACTCTTCTTTCTGCTATGGAATAAGACTATTGTCACTAAGAAAAATTAATGCTCTAGACCAAGGTCACAGACTTTTTCTGTAAAGGACCAGATAATAAATACTTCATGAGGCTGGCCTGCTGGCGTAGTGGCTAAGTGCACACACTCCGCTTTGGCAGCCTGGGGTTCACAGGTTTGGATCCCAGGAGTAGACCTACACACGACTCATCAAGCCATGCTGCGTCAGAGTCCCACATATAAAATAGAGGGGGATTGACACAGATGTTAGCTCAGGGCCAATCTTCCTCATCAAAAAAAATAAATACTTACTTCAGGGTTTGCAGGCCTTGCAGTCTTTGTCCAACTCCTCAACTCTGCATTTGTAGCAGAAAATGCAACTATCGATGCTATGTCAACAAATGGGTGTGGCTGTGTTCCACTTGAACAGTTTATAGACAGTGAAGTTTGAATTTCATATAATTTTTACATGTCACTAAATATTATTCTTTTGATTCTTTCAACTATTTAAAAATTTAAAAACCATTCTTAGCTCATAGGCTGTATGAAATCAGGCAGCAGGCTGGATCTAGACTGGCAAACATCAGAAAGCTGAATCATGCCAGATGACGTCAGAGAAATGGAGAAAGAGGAATACTCATGTGCTGCTGGTGGGTGTAGATCAGAGGCAGAGTGACAGGGAATCTTACGACTGTGCAGGGCCCCTCACTTTCTTGGACCCTGGTGAGTGCTGGGAATTCTAGAATGTTCTAGGTAAGGAGGGGAAACAGGCTGCAATCGAGAAACATTAGAAAGGAAGCATTTCAGATAAATTATCTACAGAGAGCCCAGGAATCTATTATAATTTCTCAGCTCATTCTAAATAAATAGTTACTTTGGGACCTAATTTTGATTTTGCAATTTCGTGTTCTTCTTAAAAAGAATCCCAAAATCATAGTGTCAGGCCCCACAAAACTTGGATCTTCATCTGAGGTGGAGGCAGCCATTCTGGGGAGGAATCTAATAGCATTTAGTCCAACCAAGTATAAGCATCTGTTCTGACCCAGAAATTCTACTCCTGGATACATGTCCCAAAGAAATCCCCACATATGTCCAGAAGGGAATATGCCAGGATAGCTATTAAAGCAAGGTTCATGGTGGCAAGGAGTAGAAGACAACATGAACTCCGTCACTGGGAGAGTTGAAAGGTAAAACATGGTGGATGCACACCATGGAGTGTTATATAGCAATCATAAGCTAGAGAATTAGGTACACACAAATAAACGTGGATGGGTGTTTAACACCAGTGCTGATTGTAATGGCATCACCACTTCAAAAACTGTTCGACAGTTTCCTATAAAGTTAAACATGCACTTACCATACAACCCAGAAATTTCACCCCTAAGTATTTATCCAAGATAAATGAAGACATATGTTACACCAAAAATTGTACATGAATTTTCATAGCAGCTTTATTCACCATAGGTGGAAACAACCTAAATGTCCATCAACTAGTAAACAAATAAATTAATAAATCGTGGTATATCCATACAATAGAATCTACTCAGCAGTAGAGTAGAATTAATTACTGCTACACACAATAAGGTTGAATCTAAAAAGCATTCGACTGAGTGAGAAAAGCCATTCCAAAAGAGAACATACTGAATAAGTCCATTTGTATGAAAGTCTAGGCAACCTAATCTATAGTGACAAAAAAGATCAGTGGTGGCCTGGGGCTTGTGGGAGGACTGAGATGGGGCATAAGAGAACGTTTAGGATGATGAAAATCAAAATATTTTGAAAATAAAATGAAAATGAAAATATATACACATTAAAAAGGTACATATTAAAAGATCACAAGAGTTTCCCATGCAAGACATGGTTGGGAATTGATTATGGGGATAAAAATCAACAAATCAGTAAAATAAAACAAGAGAAGGGTTTTGCATAAGACCAATGATGACCAATTTGCCATAAATAAATAAACTCAGTGCTCAGCAATAAAGGACTTAAAAAAAAAAGGGCTCTATTGACAAGGGGCTTACTTCTGAGAATAATTAGTGAGGAAATCAGCCCTCTCAACTGGAACTCATTTCCTTTTCTTCTGAAAAGAGCTGCAAAACAAAACCCTGAGGCATCATTTGAGTTTACAAGGCCCAGGGCAAGACTGAAGGGCACAACTGCCTCCACTCTTGAGGAAGGAGGTTGTTTCTACTTAGAAGGGTAGGGTACTGGGTTGAGTCTTGAAAGATGGGAGAGAGAAGAGAGCAACTCATGGGGACTCCATTCTTGCGGAAGCCTTAGTCTAGAAGGGACTTTCTTCATACATCTGAAGAGCCTGTAGTGTCACAGAGTTTCTCCTACACTGAACTCCTGTTTTGAGCTCCACTTCTCCTCCAGTAAAGAACTCCATCATAGCCCTGCTTGTTTGTTCTTGTGGATGCTGATTAGCAGAATAAGGCAGCCTAACGAAGGCATGACCTGAATGCATTATTTCCATTAATTAGCAGACTCAACACTGGTTTTCAGCAGTAGAGGAGACTCTCATAAGACCCCTTGCCATCTGGCACAAGGTACCGCGGGACAAAATGCCCTGATTGTTCCACAAGCCGAGAAGGAACTCCCCCACACCTGAGCTATATTCATCTGCGTCCCTGGGATGTCCATCATTCTTAAGATTCAGCATCTCTACTTCCTGACTTCTACTGAGAGCCAACCATTTTGCCATAGCTCTCATTCAAAGCTCTGCAAGAAAATAATCCGATTGGCTAAAAAGAATCCGATTCATTAGCTGATAGAGATAAACCATTGTAAAACGATGGGAACCTGTGGGAAAACCTCCCTTTCTGCTATCTGCAAATCTGAGCTTTTCTTTGTTGCCAAGCGTGAAGCCACATGCACTTGATGAGTGAGAGGAATGTCTGTCAGTAAGAAAAGAAAAGGAGCAAAGAGAGTGATGGAAGCAGAGCCAGCAAAATAAGAAAGGAACAAATATTTGAGGGAATCTTGGTAAGAATAGATGCTTTCCAGAAAAGATTACAGAATTGGAAAGGAGTCTACAAATGGTCCATTAGGAAGATTACCTGAGCATGTGGAAAGGCGAGAGGCTTTCAGGAGGAAGTGGTTCACACTGATGAGTGGACTCTGCTGTGAAGTGTCCAGGAGCCCAGAGTCCCCGTACTGAAGGTGTACTTGGTAACCTGGCCCTGAGGCCAATCAAATGTGCTCAACTCCTTAAATAGGCTCCTGCAGTGCTTTGGTCCTTTACCCAACACCATTGACCTCTTTCTGAGCCTGAGATGGGTACCACTGCCATCTCTGGCCTAGTGGAAAATAGGGTGGTATCTGAGAGTCAGAAAACTCTACATCCGTTCCCTGCCTGGCCATTGACTCTTGCTTTGACCCAGTGTAAACCATAAGCCTCCCTCATTGGAGTGTGCCTCGCCCAGAAAATGAACCTTCTCATGCTTCCAGTGGATCGATCACATCTTGCCGAGGACCCTTCCACTCCCTTCTTAGATTTCTGCCACCCACCGGTAGTTATTTCCCGCTTCCAGCACTCCAGCAGAGGAAAGGAAATACATCTACATTTCACTTCTTTGTAGTCTTTGGGGGTGGGGTCAGTGGAGGGTAGTGGGAAAGGAAGATGAAACTAACTGGCCCATATAAGGCCTGGAGATTTTCTGGTTCTTAGTGCTACATGTAATTAGCAATAGCAATGGACATGCTGGAGCTTTTCTCTTCAGTTTACTTGAAATCTAACACCAAGGGCAGTGTAGGCTAATGAAAAACCATAAGCTATGGAGCCAGACAAATCTGGGTTCAAATCCTCACTTTGCCACTTATTAGCTATGTGACTTGGAACAAACCAATTAGTGTCTCTGAACCTCAGTTTTGCCATCTCTAATATGGAGACAATACTGCTGACCTCGGAGGTTTGCGGTGAAGATTAACGGAGGTAATACTTGTGAAGAACACAGAACAATGCCTGGCGTGCAGGAAGCCCCCGATGACTGGTAGTGATTGTTATTTACTATGAATTCTCACCTTCCTTGACTTCTTGGAGCATTTGACTATTGACCTCTTTCTTCCCTGAAGCTCTACCGCTCTCCTTCCTAGTCAACATAGTCATGTTCAATAAAAGGGACACAGATTGCCAGCGATTCAGAGACCTCTCTGTTCACTGTGCTTTTCCGAATCATTTTTGAAATTTTCAAAACTTTGGGTCTCAGATCTAAGACCCAGAGTGCCTACCAAGGATCCAGGCTCAAGGACAGATCTTTCCTCTGTGTCTGGAGTGTATACAATGTAACTGGGTTTGAGCTCTGGTGAAAGATGATAAAGAAGGTTTCCAACTTTTTGTCAGAGCACGTTTCCAAGCTTATCTCTGTTCCTAGCTCTCCTTGTGCCTCCCAGGATGTCTTCACTGGCTTCTTATCTTTACTGTCACCTATATCTTTCCAGACACTGCTCTTTCCCTCAATACTTCATTTCACGTGTCTTCTTTCCCAGGAAGTAACCACTGCTGTCTCCACGTCAGGTCGTTTTCATCCCGCCTAGAATGCCCTTCTGTAACCTCGTCCTCGTCAAAATCTACGCAGGCCATTTTAAGTTTCCTGTGGATCAAGGACTAAGGTGCTGGGGAGGTGGTGGCTGGAGAACTATCTGAGAGGGTTCCTGTCCTTACAACGCTTACGACTTCTTTAGGAAAATGGAAAGCAAACATTTTTAAATGAACTTCATATCCTCCCAAAAACACTCAAGAA